AGAGTGTGCATTTTTTAAATACACTGTAATCATTTCAGACCACGTAATTAGAAACACAAAGCAGTTTACTGAAACATAGTGATATATTAAGAGTTCAGTTAATTACATGCAAAGAAACAAGACAGACTTCAAAACCTTTACTCAGTTTCTATTTTATTTGCAACTGGGGTATGTTGATGGGACTTTGCCTGCTTAACATTGAGTAGGAGTTTCAGAATTTTAACCTGAGGGTAAAATTTTCAAAAGCATTTAAGCAACTGGCTCACTGAAAATCAATAGGACTTTCACTCCTGAGGGCAACATTTCAGAAAGTATGTAGATACTAAAGTCCAGTTGACTTCAGTGTCTATGCATATTAAAAAATCCTGCTTTATTGCCCTAAATCTGTTTAAAATAAGTGTTACATTTCAATGTCACCCAAGAGCTTCTGAAAATGTTACCCCAAATAAACAAGCTGTTATTATAATTTTTTTTTTATTTGGAAAACCCTGTTTTGTTTTTCTTTCTTCTTCAATGTATACAGAAAATCATAAAACATATTTTGGATGTTAATAAGCCACATTGTCTCCAATCTGGTATTAAAATCTTACTGCAAATGCTCAAGAAGTGGTGGCAATTATAATTAGTGCAGACAGTTCTTCACTCCATTGTAAATTTTCCTAGAATTTAAAAATAAACATTTTCCCCTTTTCAGTCTGTGTTTAATGTTTTTTTGGATAAAAGTGATAAATTGCCTCCTTTGAAGCCATAGCCTGACCTAAATTATTCTCTCTACATTATGTATAAAAGCAAGTAAAAAAAAATAAAATTGTAATACAAAATCTTAGGGAGATGAAGAAGACATAAATCAGAACTAATTAGTCATTCTCATTGAAGAGAACATATGTTATATTTTCCATTGAATCTCTCAAATGTAATTTGCTGAGAAAATTAAAAAGTACCACTTAGTATAGAAAAACCTCCGGATTCAAAAAATCTTTGGTTTGAGAATTTGTGGAGGGGGTATCTTGGTTCTCTAACATGTTTCCTGTACGAGCCTTAAAACTATGCTAGCTTGTTGCACAACAGCTTACAAGTTCTCAACGGTTGCATTTATTACAATTTTACCTCACTTTCAGAGAAGTTCTCTTATCATGCTCCAAATCACATTTTATGCTGCTTTGAAGTACATTACTAATATGCTTATTGCTTAACAGAAAACAGCCTGACAGTCATTTCTGTTTTAAGGTGCAAAGTAATAAATGTCAGCTTCTTTTTTGCAGTCATTTATCTGAGCCTGTACTTACTCTCAAAGTATCTGGCTTTGGAAACAAGTCAGAAGCGCAATGTCCTAATTGTCTTCTCTTTGGGACTAACAGTAAAAATATAAAAATTAAGTTTGAACCTTTCTTTCCGTGCAGCCTTCTTTCAGATTCTGGCCTTTTCCTGTCATTAAAGCTAGGCAGGCTCAAGTTTTATGAAAAATTGGGAATTACTTCTTATTTTGTGCATGTTCAGCAATCATATGGATTGCAAAGACAAGGCGCTCTGGTAGTCATTTGTACTTGTCAGTGCATACCCTTCTATTCCCTGTGGCTGTTTTGTGCTGCTAGACAGGTGTGTGCACTCTGCGCAAAACTTTGCCCTTTGGACATCATTACAGTGTCTAAAAAACATGGGAGACAGGATCCTGACAGACTTATAAACGACCACGAAGAAGGGAATTCTCTTTAGGGATCTTAGCAGAACATATGCCTTGTATTATTCTGCATCCATTGAGACAAGTGTGATTTTTGCTATCACAGAAAACGGAGAAAGCAAGATGTGCTTAAGGTGTGGATAACTCTGGATACCATTCTCCCCAAAGAGTGATGAATGGCTTTACCACCGTGTTTAGGTTCATTCAGAAGCAAGGCTGTTAAGGTACAAGAAGCAGTGAAGTTGAAAAAAACCATGTAGTTAAATGCAGCACTTTATCCCGGGGTAGAAGTACAAACATTTAAATTAATCTGGTTAACGGGTTTCTTCCCCGCGCCTTCCCCGCAGTCACTGTTCAAGGATCTGACTGAACCATGCCTTTACACCATGCCAAGCAGCAGAGTGGAGCTCTCGCGGATCCTTTGGAGCAGTGAAATCCAGTCTCCTGGGCCCTTCACACTGAGCATTCAACCTCTCCAGACACTCAGGTATAGTCAGTATGCCCTGGCTGATCTGAAGCATCATAATGGAAGATAAAGGAGAGAGAATTTATTGCCTAGGACTCAAAGCATATAGGGTTTTATAGATCAATAAGAACATCCTGAGTTATGCCCAGAGGCAAAAAGGAAGCCAGTACAGACTTCAAAGACCTTGTGTAATATATTCCTTATGGCCAATATTACAGATTAAGCACAGAGCAATGTTCTACACAAGCCATCAAATCTTGACTAGAATAAGGACAGACTATACATTGTACAAGTCTATTTTGGTGGCTACAAAGGTAACATAGCTTTCACCTTTAAGAACTTATCACAATTATCTAACTAAAAATAACAAAAAATATTTTACGTCTAGGAACCTGTTCTGAGCTAAGCATTAAGAAACACCTTTTGTTATGAGGTTTGCTCAGGAAGAATAACCAAATCTGACTGACCAGCATCCCTTCCTCTCCTGCGATTTCTAATCTCTCTCAGGAAGACTCGGAAAAAGTGAAAGGCTGCAAGCTCTAGGTTTGGCAAAGGAAAGTGTAAATCAAATTAACTGACAGACTCCTCAGAAGCCTGCTTACCTTTCAAAGCAGAGAGGCTGACAGTACTGACCAAGGAACTGAAATAATGAAATATTCATACAGTATTTGTAACAAGTAGAAAATACAAATGAAACTAAAATAATGTCTAGTCTGTGTCTAATGCACAGAAAAATGAGGTCATCTGTATTATCTTTCCTATGACAAATTCAGGGCCAAACTTTTCTTTTACAAATGCTGCAAGAGGCTTGTCTTGAGGTTTGCCTTCTCTAAGTGACGAGACCAAGAGAAGTATGTGACCAACTTAATGGTTTCATATAGCCCAAATTTGAAAGGATGATTTTTAGCTCTCACTGAAAGCTGAAAAGGGCAAGGCTTAGCAAGCTCCTTGAAGACCTAGTCCTGTAGCCACTCCAAGGTCCATTCATTTTTTCTTATGAGAAGAAAGCAGCTCTCACGGAAACTTCTGACTTTCCCAAGTCTTGTCTAATGTGGGAAAATCTACTAGGAAGAGGTCCCTTGACTGGTATCCACAGGTACTATGGATAACTGAAAAATGGGTTCCATGTTTTTAATTATATTGGCTCAGTTCGGCACAGAGACTATCCTGCAGGATAGGTGAGATGTGTGAAGATCTGTATGATCTGCGGATATAAGAAAAAATGAAGTAGGACTTGAACATGGGCAAAGTAGACCTTTGGTTAGCTGCTGCTGAAGAAAAATAATGCTCAGGTATTAATGGTCTGTAATGTACATACCTTCTTTGATAATTTGCTTAAGGAAACTTTCACTTCTACTTTATTTTAAAAGAAAGTTAAAATGCACATCTTTGCTTTTGTGGTTAAATAAGACGTTCCATGAGAGTGGAACTTGGAGCCTTGTCAGGGGTTAGCAGTGATCCCACTCGTCCATACATTACTCTGCTGAAAGCTCTCACTCTGCCTTGCAACATTCTTGTTATTCCAGAACTGGGTTGGGCTACTCATAATAGATGCAGGCAATCAACTTAACTTCCCCACACACAGCTCTGCCAGTAAAGTTAACTTCACCTTGCAACACTCCTGTCTTTCCTGTGTCTTTTAAGCAAAGGCTATCAATTCAGCACCTACTGTGGATCTGTCCTTACTCCTGGAAATGCTGCTGATACAGACAAATGTCTGCTGGTGGCTAGGATGAAACAAAGTTGTCGTCTCTGAATGACTGAGATTTTGACCCCGGCAGTAGAGGCACCTAACCTGTGTTCCGGTTCTGCTTTCATTACAGCAAATAAAATCCCGGATGACTCCATAGATATCAATTCAGTTACGAAGACTGTAAGTGAGATTAGAGTCTAAACTTTACATAATGTGGCCTCCTTTATGGTTGTGCTTTTTCCAAAGAAAAAGATTTCCTTTCAATGAGAACACTGTAGCTCTCAGTGTTGATCACCATTGTTTTATTTATAATGAAAATCTACAGAGCATTCACCATGATGCAGACAAGCATTGGCCTACTGACAGCATCTCAATTTACACTAGCATTTGGATTTGGGCCATGTAATTTTATGTAAAATCAAAGAAGTGTGAAACAGTAAAATACTATGCTGAAATAAGGATTGTTCTTTCCTCTTTGTTTTCTTTATCACATGAAATAATACATAAAAAATATAAGAACGCGCTAGGCAATGTACAAAACTAAAAAAGACTAGTTTGGTGAATGAACATAGTGAGAGGCTATGAATATGGATATGTTGGTACTAAGGAGCCTAGAGGAGATGCTTTTTACGCATGGTGATACAGAAATGCATACTTGTAACTCTGCACACCAGGGAGAGAATATTCCCCTAAAACAAGTAGTTTCTCTAGCGGTGCTCTGTGTTGATCAAAGCTGCATAATTTAAAGCATCTAGAGGCAGCTTTAAATTATTCACAATGTATTTTTTCTAAGCGATCTTGGTATAGAGCAGACAGTATTTGTGTCACTAGCAGCCTTCTGTAAGTTCTATAAACTTTTGCATCCTTACAGAGCTGGCAAGTTCTCCCATCCGAGAAGAGGGGACATAATTTTGCTAACAGGAGCAAGAGGGACTCATCCGGGCACTGTGTTAGCCCCATCACGGGAAAACGCCAGGCACGCAGGGCCACACGGAGCGGCGGGGCAGAGCCGGCAGCCTCCAGGTCTCAGCCCGAAGGCTGCTGTGCGGTGCCCAAGAGTTCTCCGATACCCTCCAAAGCCCCAAACAGGAATCCTGCAATTAGTGTATCTAAACTCCTCCTTTACTGCAGTCTTCTCTCCTATTGGTAAAAGGTCTTCGCAGGCTCATGTAGGGGTCCCACCCCTTTTGTGGGTTTTCATTCTGAAGCTATCCACAACTTTACACCTGAATGAATGCCAAGCCTCTCTGAATATATAAAGGAAACCTTCAAGAGCAATTTCAGAGTTACCCAGAAGAAGCAGAAGAAAAAGATTTCATCCAGCTCTGTCAGACAGAGACTGAACCCAGCCATGCTTCTCCCTGCCATTCACTTCTATGGCTTTCTCCTAGCTTGCATCTTCACGAAAAGCTACTTGGCTTTCAAGAACGATGCCACAGAGATACTTTACTCGCACGTTGTTAAACCCGCTGCAGCGAGCCCGAGCAGCAACAGCACGTTGAATCAAGCCAGGAACGGAGGCAGGCACTACCCCACCGCCGGATCCGACCGTACCAGTGAGT